TGTGCAAAATTGCTGTAAAAAGATTTGGCAATATAATATACGTGGGGCTAATTATGGAGCCAGAGTGCAAGTCAGAGATTTGCTATCTTGGGTAATCTGGTTGAAGGTATGACCTTAGCGTGATTTACTGATTAGATCTGTGTAAACAGCCTAATAAGCAGCAGATGGGACTTTGAACCTCTCTAAAAGGAAAAAGAAAAGCTTTTTTTAGATAAAAGGCGTCTGTGCACAAAACAGACAGATTTACCGGTTGGTTTTCTAGATAATTCTGTTGAAATTGCCTTTCAAGGAACATCAAAGATATGCAATTTGTTTACTGCTGCAGACAAAGCAAATTGGTCTATAGGTGTTGCTAGAAAAACATAGAAATGTAGAAGAAATATAAACGTTGTTGTTAGTTGCGAAGTCGTGTCCGACCCATCACGACTCCATAGACAACGTTCCTCCAGGCCTTCCTGTCCTCTATCATCCTCTGGAGTCCATTTAAACTCACGCCTACCTACTGCTTCAGGGACTCCATCCAGCCACCTCCTTCTCTGTCGTCCCCTTCTTCTTTTGCCCTCAATCTTTCCCAGCATTAGGCTCTTCTCCAGTGAGTCCTTTCTTTTCATTAGGTGGCCAAAATATTTGAGTTTCATCTTCACGATCTGGCTTTCTAAAGAGCAGTCAGGGTTGATCTCCTCTAGGACTGACAGGTTTGATCGCTTTGCAATCCAAGGGACTCTAGCACCATAGTTCAAAGGCCTCAATTCTTTGGCGCTCAGCCTTTCTTATGGTCCAACTTCCACAGCTATATATTATACTCAAGCCAAATCTGGAAGGCAAGAAAATGAATGGCTTGGAGACAAGCTAAGGGATGAAGGCACGGTTGGTTGTAGAAGTTCCAGATAGCCCTAAAGAAATATTATTGCTTTCAGCTCATTTTGATACAGGTAGTCCTCAATATACAACCATTAATTTAGTGGCCTTTTAAAGTTAACAATGGCACTGAAAAAAGTGACTAATGATAGTTTTCACCCTTACGAACATTGCAGCATCCCCATCCCCATTGGTCACGTGATCAAAATTTGGCTGATTGGCAACTGACTCATATTTATGACAGTCATAATGTCTCGGGGTCATGTGATGCCCTTTTGAGACCTTCTGATTAGCAAAGTCAATAGGGAAGCCAAATTCACTTAACAAATGTGTTAATAACTTAACTTCAGTGATTCACTTAACAAAAGTGGTAAGAAAAGTGGTAAAATGGAGCAAAATTCACTTAATGACTACCTTGCTTAGCAACAGAAACGTTGGCCTCAATTGTGGTCGTAAGTCAAGGACTTCCTGCATTGTGCCTTTTTCCTTAAGTAATTTGGTCCACTGTCTAAATCAGGGGTCCTCAAACTTTTTAAACGGGGCCAGTTCAAGGTCCCTCAGGCTGTTGTGGGGGGGCCGGACTGGGTGGGCATGGCTAGGTGGTCATGTGACTGGGTGGGCATGGCCAATTTAGCAGTCCATTAAACAATACACACAAATTACACTTTGATTTGTTATGCACCTGGGGGTGGAAAGTAGGTTAGTGAAGGGATGTGGTTGCCTTGGGATGTATGTGAGGGACTTGTGTGTGTGTGTGTGTGTGTGTGTGTGTTTCTCTCTCTCTCTCTCTCTCTCTCCCTCTCCCTCCCTCCCTCTCTCTCTCTCTCTCTCTCTCTCTTTCTCTAGAGCTGGAGAGTAATGCTATGCTGCCCAAAAACAGGTCCGTTTTTGGCTTCCTGAAGCCTCTGCATGTCCTGTTTTTGGCTGCCTTGGCCTCCAGAAGGCAGGTGGGGGCTGGTGTGTAGGTGGGGTGATGTGGGCGGGGCAGTCTCATGGTCCCACGCGGGCCGGATTAATGGCTTCGGTTGGCTGTATCCGGCCCGCGTGCCATAGTTTGAGGACCCCTGGTCTAAATAGAGCAAGCAAATATCAAGTCAACCTAATTTAGTCTTGTCCACTGATTGGTAGTGTCAGTGTAGGGTTTTGATTGCCTGATGTTTCTGCCTTTAAGGTGCCACAGATCAAGTCTTTAGCACACTTCTTGCTCTTTCTTCCTAATTGTCTTGATTCATCAAGGTAAAAGAGTTTTAAATTATATTTTTCATAGCTTTAAAATAAGCGGTAAAAATCTAGGAACTCATGAGACTATGGGAAAAGCAATATGTGTTATTAAATTAAGTAAATAGAATGAATAAAGAGGTCTGTAAGCCTCAAGGTGACTTTAAACAATTCAACTAAACAAATTCCTAAATGGGATTTCAGAGTTGCTGAGAGTCAGACAGCGTACAAGTTTAAATTAGAATTATTATACGATGAAGAACACCACATCAGTAAAACAAAATTGAATGAAGCCTCATTTGTTAATGTAAATATAAATACTGGCATTAATAGCCCTTTCCCTAATCAAAAATATTTGTCCACTGTCTCATTTAATTTAATTGCTAGATGACAAATTCTGGGAGTTGAAGTCTACGAATCTTAAAATTGCCAATGTTGGACACTCCTAGTCTACAGGTTTAAAATTTTAATAGTTGATATGGAATATCCATAATACAGGGATTAAGCTTTAAACTGCATGGAGTAGAACTCTGGACAGCCATGCTACTTTTGATTCCTTCTAGATCAGGGATGTCAAACTTGAAGGCCGCATCAGGGTTGTGTTTGACCTGGGGGTGGGGGTGGGGAGCATGGGGGGCGTGGCCAGCTTGATGTCACTTGTGTCGGGGGCACCTGTGGTGGCCCGAGCGCTCTGCCAGCAAAAATGGGCTCCTGAGCTCCGTTTTCGGCTGGGACAGCCTCCTGAAACTCTCTGCCAGCGAAAACGGAGCTCTGTGGCTGGTCCTTAACTGGTTTCCAGGGTGATCCTGCAGATCTAAGTACCCCAAGGGCCGGATCCGCCCCGTGGGCCTTGAATTTGACACCCCTGTTCTAGATGTATTGTATTATAGTTCCTATCGTTCTCAAATGCTGGCCATGTTGTGTGGAAATGATGCAAATCCTCGTTCAACACATTTGAAAAGCATGCATTTGGAAAAAGTTATTTATGCATTTTCTTGTGCAGATCCCAATTAAAGCAAAATACCACACCTTGGTAAGACCTGCTCTAAAATGAGCTTAAGTCAGCTGGAAGTTGTAGAACAGGTTTGAAGAGTAGAATGCACCAACACTAATGTGTGTTTCTGGAGCAAAGCTTTCCTGAGAGCTGGATAAAATAGACTTCATTGACAAAGCTTGGGGAATACTATGTAATCATAAAAGGCTATACTGAAATAGAAAATTATGGATCTGCTTTTATTGCAGCTCATGATGTTCTTAAAATGATGTTAAAAATAATTTTCTTTTAGCACAGTTCTTGCAGTAGAGTATTGGTTTCATTTTGCTTACAGGATATAATGATAGTAAATCAGAAACTAAATTGTTGTGTTGGATCTCAAGGTCATCATGCAAAATATCTTGCATTGCATATCGATGTTATCTAGATTGAAGTCATTTGTGCAGCATTTATGCAATCTGGAGGCATATTTCCATGGGGAAAGTCCATTCTTATACAGCTTTAAATATATATTAAAAAAATTGAAGGGTTGATGCAGCCACTTTCTGCTAAGAACATTAAGGCTGTTTAGATTAATGCTCATTTTGGTGACAGACTACACTTTTTGATAGCCTGCTTATATTCTCACACAAAAAAAGTATTTCTAGCTGTCTCCAGCTACCTGCCTTCCAAATGTATTGAGGCTCTATATTTATCATTTTCACCTAAATTGGCTTGTATTTCTATATGTCTGGAAAGTACCCAGTTGAGGAAAGTTGTAGTGCATTTAGTATTTTCCAGAGGCTTGTGCCAGGTAGCACTTAAATCAGGAACATAATAAAGTTGATGATTTAATGCCCTCCGATGCTTTCAAAGCTTGTTTGTAGGTACGATGAATTATTCAAGATTTGAAATCCTCAAACCAGCTTTTCAAGGAGAACTGATGCAAGGAATTGCTTTGTAGTGAATGTGCCTCTACTTGGCAATCATAATTGTAAATCATTGCAAATCTTTCATATCTAAAGACGCTAGGTTGATGGCTACCCAAAGTACCTTTTAAGTAGCAACACCCCAGTTGAAGTCCTTTCCAAGAGAGCTGATACGATCTCCCTATTCGTTTCAACTCTCATCCAAGACTGTTTGGTTCCCTCAAATACCCCTACACAAAGACATGTGTAAACCACTTTCATATTTTCAAGAAAATTATTATGGATATATATAGTATCCTTGAAGTTATCAGAAAGTAAGTTAAACTTGAAGAAGATATTACTTTTAAATATATTGTCACTTTTAAATTTATCTTTAGATGAATGGTACAACTTTTGCTTATCTCTATCACAATAGTTTTATTGTACCTTTTGCCTTGAAGAGGGGGTACTTTGATAAATACATCTATTTTCTGATGCTTCAATGAGCTACTTTTGATTCTATACTCCTATTTATTAAGGCAGTGTTTCTCAACCTCAGCAACTTTAAGATCTGTGGACTACAATTCCAGCCTAGCAATAGCACTTAGACGAATGAAGGCAAATATTATAAAATAGCACTTAGACTTATATATTGCTTCATAGTGCTTTACAGCACTCTCTAAGCTGTATCAAAGGGATGTGATACAAACATTCTTAAAGCTTTGCAGGCTTTTGTTGCAATTCCGACTCCACACAAGTTTTCATTAATAGGTTGGAAGCAAAGTAATTAAGGTCTTTTAAGTTCCTCAGAAATTCCCCAGCATAACCACCATGTGAGCTTCATTTGTTTGAAGTGCCTTTTGTCTGGGACAAATTGTTAACTCTCCCCAGATCACTTTCTTCTTTTTGTGCAGTCTTTTTTTTGTAACTTGTCTAGGGAAGTCAGCTAAAAATGTTGTCAAAAAAAAAAATGTGAACATGTAAGTTTATTCATTGACATTTGGTTTCATTCTATTTTGTGGTTTGTCTGCTCTCTTCTCCAGGAGACTCTTACTCTATACCATCATATCGTCCTGCAATACGTAAACCAGACAAGAAATGTGGTGAATGAAAAATGCTCCGGGTTGGAACCATGGCAAGTCATCGCATCAACAGCTGCTGCTACCTTGCTGATTGTGAAGTTACACATGTTTCTTTTCCAGTCAGAAAGTAAGGGTCACATCTCCTTCATGTGAGGAATCTTAACAATTCGCAGTGCTTTGGAGTATCGTAATAGTGTACTATTAGGTGTAAAAGTATAATAGTGTAATAGACGCGGTGGCTCAGTGGCTAAGTTACTGAGCTTGTCGATCAGAAAGGTCGGCAGTTCGGCGGTTCGAATCCCTAGCGCGGTGTAACGGAGTGAGCTCCCATTACTTGCCCCAGCTTCTGCCAACCTAGCAGTTCAAAAGCACGTAAAAATGCAAGTAGAAAAATAGAGACCAGTTTGGTGGGAAGGTCTTGGTAGTACAGTGGTCTAAAGCACCCTGTTATTAAGACCAGCTGCCTGCAATTACTGCAGGTTCGAATCTCGCTAGGCTCAAGGTTGACTCAGCCTTCCATCCTTTCTAAGGTAGGTAAATTGAGGACCCAGTTGTGGGGGCAATAAGCTGACTTTGTATAAATATACAAAAGGATGAAGGCTATTGCTTAACATATTGTAAGCCGCCCTGAGTCTCCGGAGAAGGGCGGCATATAAATCAAATTAAAAAAAAAAGGTAACAGCGCTCTGCGCCTTCGGTGTTTAGTCATGTCAGCCACATGACCATGGAATCATCGTCAAGACAGCTCTGGCTCTTCGGCTTAGAAATGGAGATGAGCACCGCCCCCTAGAGTTAGGAACAACTAGCATATATGTGTGAGGGGAGCCTTTACCTTTAATAGTGTACTGTTTTTAATCTTCATGCGTGGTTCCAGTGGGACTGCATCATGGCCTGGAACTGGTTGACCATCTTAGTGCTGGTACCTGGTCTTGCACTCCCGCAGGTCTTCCCTCTGCTTGGAAAGCCTATGCTCGTAGTCCTCAGTGAGGTGCTTCTGCTGAGCCTCCTTCTCAGTCAGATCCAATCTGAACTGAGCTGTTTTGCCAACTCTTTCTCATAATGAGTGCTTAGCTCCAACAACTGCTTCCTGTTGAGGCCCTAAGGAGCCCCGGCGGGGAGGCGAAGAGTGGCTGGGAGGAGAGGGGTGAGTAGGGGCTTCCGAGGCGCCCTTCGACGTGAGTGACATCGAGTTGGCCACACCCACCCAGTCACGTGACCACCTAGCCACGCCCACCCAGCCAGTCATTAGGCAGATCATATTAGTCCATAGGATTTAAAATTATGAATTTAGTGGTCCCTGGGATCCGAAAGATTGGTGACCCCTGACATAGGAAGAATATTGACCTTTTTGAACTTCGTTATTGGAGAAGACTTCTGAGAATATTGTGAAGAGCCAAAAAAATAAAAATAAATTGATCATTGAACAAATCAATTCAGAGTTCTCACTGGGGGCACAAATGAGGAGGCTCAAGTTACCTTATCTTGGGCACATTTTGTGTCGACCTACCTCTCGAGAAGGCTTTAAATGCTGGGAAAGGTGGAAAGAAAAAGAAGAGGATGACCAACATCAAGGTGGATGGACTCAGTGAAAGTGTCAGCGACCGCAGCATCAGAAGATCTGAAATATCAGGTTAGATGCAGAACCTCAGAGAGAAAATCCATTAGTGTGATTGCTAAAGAGTTGACACTGGCTTGATGGTGCACAATAAACATTGGTCAAGAGAGAGCAGGGAGCTTGTTGCTTTAAAAAAATTAAAACATGGACTTATTTGCAGTTCTTTGGAAGTATTTAGCAAACAAACCTATTAATTTAGAATCTGGATGGTTGTGTATTGGTTTTGCTGTCATGTTTTATAGAAAATAATTTTCCATGCCTGCTCTGGTTCATTATTTTTGTGGGCAATGTTCAGTTGTTGGTTTTTTGTTTTTTTTTTAAAGTTAAATTGGGTTAATTGTTCCATTGCTGCCAGTTTCTTTCTGCCAATTGGAATTTGAAAGTCTTCAAAGAACTCCTTTTGTTAATTTGAGTTTTGCAGGATAGATACAGTAGTGGCCAAAATTCTGGAAACCTTTTGGGAAAAGTGTATTTTTTAGGGTTGATGGCTAATTACATCACTTTTTTGGGGGGGGAGTTTCAAGATAATCATATTCCACTGCTGGAATGGCCTGGGAATAGCCTAGACTCAATTGAGAATCTATGGAGCCGACTAAAGAAACTTGTTAGCCAGAAGCGACCCAGCAATAAAACCCAGTTAATAGAAGCAATCGTTCACATTATAACAGCTGCAGAACTAAAAGACTTGGTTCACTCCATGAGAAGACGTTGTAAGGCTGTAATTCATCCTAAAGGTTACCCAACTAAGAATTAACTGACACGGTGATAATTTTTGTATATCTCATTTTTTCTATGTGTTTCACTTTTCTTCTTTATACTGTAACTGCTATTCTAATAGGAAATCCTTCATTAAAGTTATTGTATTACATTCTTGATTAAATTATCTTTCCATTGATATATAATTTTATGGTACTACTCCAAAAAAAAAAAAAAAAGTGGTGTTTTTAGCTAGTTTTAGAAAATACACTTTTCCCAAAAGGTTTGCACAGTTTTGGCCACTACTGTAATGTAAATGCAAACATACGTGTTTGAGCACATGAAGCCTTCGATTACTTTCCCTCTTCTCCAAGAGGTTATGATGGAGCTACATATTAAAAAGGATGAGAAAGTGGCTCCAATCTGATTGTTTTAAATTAAAAAGAAGTTTTGCACTTAGCAACGTAGTTCTTCAGCATAAGTGGCAGATTCCATTAATTGCCTTCAGCTCCCTTGAGATCATCTTAAAAACTATTTTAATCTCAATGCTAAGCCAAGGAAATTTGGAAAATCCTAAACTTGTATCATTTTCTTGGAGAATCTTTTTTTTAAAAAAATTCTTTTTTATTTTGAAAAACGATAGAAGGGTTTGTAGACTTACAGGATGTACTACAGACAGTCCTCAACCTATGACCATAATTGGGACTGGAATTTCCATTGCTAAACAAAGTGGTTTGCTAAATGAGTCCCACATGATTTAACATCCTTGTTTTCCATTGTTAAATGGATCACGGCAGTTGTTAAATGAATCATGTCATTAAGTGAATTTGGCTTTGCTTATCGGAAGCCAGCTGGAAAGGTCAACATAAGGATCCCATGGGTACTGTAATAGATGAAAAGTTTCCAAGCGCTTGAATTTTGATTCATGATTGTGGGGAGGCTGCAACAGTCATAAGTGTGAGGATTGGTCATGAGTCAATTTTTTCAATAACTTTGAATGGTTGCCAAATTATAAGTAGAGGACTACCTGTACTTCAGTTTACAGCAGTGGTCTTCAAACTTGGCAGCTTTAAGACTTGTGGACTTCAAGCCAGCTATGCTGGCTAGAGAATTCTGGGAGTTGAAGTCCACAAGTCTTAAAGCTGCCAAGTTTGAAGACCTCTGTTTACAGGATGGTCCTAAAGGTGCTTTTTAAAGAGGCAGCTGGACTTCCTTGTTTTTCTTTGAAGACGTTTCACTTCTCATCCAAGAAGCTTCTTCGACTTAATTTAATTTAATTTTAGAATGCACAGAGATGGACAAATTAACAAAAGAACTCAAGGAGAAAGAAGATACAGAATATTACAAAGTGTGATGTAGATGGTATGAATGGTCGGAGAATAGGAAAAATGAGAAAGAGGAATAAAGGAGAGAGGGGAAAAAATGTTGAAGGTACAATGTAGATGAAATAAAGAAAGATGGAAAATAATTGTTGAATAAAGACAAAGTTAAAATATGTGTAAATAGATGTAAATAGCAAGAAAGATCACTTCTAAATAGCTGTAGGAAAAAGTGATACATATATAAAAGTTGTGTGTTTTTGTCTTGTTTTAACGTATTCAAAATAAAAAACTTTAAAAAAAAAAAGAAAAGAAAAAGCACCTTTAAGACAACCATAACCTGGATGACTGAGAATCTCCATAGACATTTACATGATAGTGGAATATTCTTGTCTGCTCTTGTCAGTCTAATTTTAATAGTATCCACAAAAGATTTAAAATGTAAGCCTGATTTGTAGATACCTACAGATCTGCCTTTCTACCTTTTCTGTGAAAGTTTTACACATTTTGTAAATGTGTGTGTATTGTGTGTCTCAGATTTTAAAAAAATCTTGTTTTTTTTCTTTCTTCCCCTTAGGTTTAACATCACGATTTAAAAAATGGTTCTTCAGATTTATACGCAAGCTGCCCATCATTGGTCATATTGTAAGTTTTAAGCTGCTTAATAAATTTAAGGTATTTTGAGAATGGCTTGGATATGAGTGGATTTATCAATGCTGAAAAAGCAAAAGAACAATTTTGAAAACATAATGTCATATGAATTCTTAGCTCAAATGTGATAGCATTCCACTTTAAGCACAAATTCGTAGCCAGTTTAAAACCAAGCAAAATTCAATTCACCATTGATTCTTTTCTTTCTCCTTACTAGCCTCACTAAACAATGGAGTACTTAGCGAGTGTCTTTATTTTCATAGGATTTGCTTCATTGGTAAATGTTTCAGAGGGATCCTTGAAGATCCCTGAACATTTAATACAGAAGATGGCAAAAGAAGGAACACAGACTTGCTTATCGATTGAATGTCGAATTTATACCACATGGTCATGGGATGTCACCTTCCATTGACTATTGAAAAACACTTAACATAACTAATGTCAATTAATCGTATCAGATAAAACAAGAGAACATTACTTAAATTGCAGTGAAAAACATATGGAAAACTCCAAAATATCTATTCTGCATAAATCTTAAACAATGCAAATTTTGAAGAAGGAATGCTTGCTCAATAATGTAGATTATGTCTTAAAATCACCCTGGGAAGGTGATGTCTACACTACACAGGGTAGGGAATTCCACAGTGATAGTGTTTCCAGGTGTTTTTAATCTAGGTCCAGTGGCACCAGTAATAACACCATAAAGGATTCATGGAGTCCCTCCTTCGTGATATAATGTGGAAACCATTCCATTAGGTACACAAGACACAAGCCATGAAGGAATTTATGCATTAAATCAGAGGTCTTCAAACTTGGCAGCTTTAAGACTTGTGGACTTCAACTCCCAGAATTCTCCAGCCAGCTATGCTAAGAATTGAAGTCCACAAAGTTGCCAAGTTTCGGGACCCCTGCATTAAATCAATGTAAATTTGGCCTTCAAAAATTGTGAAACCAGTGCAGCTGAGCCAGAACAAGTATCACAAGGAACACCCATCAGAAAACTGATCACAACATTCTGGACTCATTGCAATGTTCTGGTTTCCCTCAGTGACATCCTCACAGAAAGCAATTGTAGTATGAATCATGGAGGGCAAAGCAGTCCTATCCAGGAAAGGGGAATGTAATTCAGATAAAAGAAGATGTCGCTCATCCTTAGGAACCACCTGAACTTTCAGAGAAAATGTGAAATTGAGAAAACACCCCCAAGAGGTGAATCTGCTCTTTCAGAGGGAGGGCAATCCTATATAGAGCTGGTAACTCTCTCTTCCAATTGGATAGTGTTATCATCAATCAACGTCCTCTGACTTGCCTGAATTCAGCTTGGAACTATTATACCTCATCCTGACCACAATCGGGCCAAGCAGAAGCTAACTATAAAGGCTGACCCACTGGAAGAAGATGAAAAAAAGCATGTAAGATTGGAACTGGTTCTTTTTAAACTATATCCAGTTTGATTGACTCAAGCACAAGAGATCCCTCAAGAGCACTTGGACTGTGGACAGTTGGATTTTTATACCACCCTACGAATTGTTTATAAGTTGGGAAGTTGTTTTATTCTGGAAAAATATCCAAGTTGCAAAAATGAAGTATACAAACATATATGTGTGAGTTCTTTCAATGTCTGTTGTATTCTATATTCTGTAGTTCTTCTTATTGATATACAATGTTTTACATACTATATTCAACTATTATTCTACTATATTCAATTATTGCTTGTACATCATTGCTGTATTACACTATTTCTACTATAAGAATGCTATTTATTTACTTCTATTTGTATCCCATCTTTATTATTTTTAAAAATAACTGAAGGTGGTGAACATATTCAACACTTCTTCCTCCTCCTATTTTCCCCATAACAACCCTGTGAGGTGAGTTGGGCTGAGAGTGAGTGATTGGCCCAAAATCATTCCCGCTGGCTTTCATGGCTAAGGCAGGACTAGAACTTCCAGTCTCCCACTTTCTACCCTGGTGCCTATTATCTACTATCTATTATCATTGCTACTATACTATTACTGCTATTGCAAATATGCAGCAGTGTTTTACCCTTAAGACCCTGTTCTGTCTTTAAATTCTCTCTCTCTCTGGAATTTCTTCCATTGTTGTCTCCTTTATTAAGGCAAAGCGCTGGTGTCTTCCAAATGTTCGGTTTGACTTTGCTGTGCCTCTTTCTTTTTCTTCTGAATCTTTCCATCTCTGTGAAGAAAACTGCTTTTATTTGCCTGGTTTCTGTTGTTGCTGCTGTTACGCTACAAAAATACACATATCTCCAGCTGCTTCATGGTTAAGTTAACCAATTCTGACATTGGGAAAGGGGCTCAAATAGGAAGGGAGAAAGGCAGCCACATGCGTGTAATTTTCTTAGCAGCCTCTCTACCATGGTCACACTGTTTCACACAGTGTGAATTCATCAATTCACAATTACAAGCGTAATATTCTGTGGTGTACAGCATAATATCCAAAAAACCTGACATGGTAACAGTGACAACTCTCCCAAGTGATCTTAACTCTCCCCAACCTGTGGGTCACAGACCACTACAGGTTTGGGGCCTATTTGTAACCGGGCCGCGTGAGTGGCTTGCTGGTGTTCGTGCATACAGCACCACTCGTGCGAGTGTCATGGGGGCTCGGGGCCCCACTCGCACGAGTGTTGTAGGAGCTTGGGGCCCCACTCACATGAGCGTCGCAGGAAACTGATCCAAGAGGATAATCCTGATGGATGATATCAAGAGCTACCATGGAATCCAGAAACACACGGGACATCCCTGTTGCGTCCCTTTAACAGATCATCTATCAAGGCAACCATAGTTCTTTTCTGTGTGGCGATCTGTCCTGAAAACCCATCTGAAATGCATCTGAATAATTAGTGACAACCAGAAATATCTAAGTTTGCTTCTGCTAATGCTTGCATTTGGACCAGCTCTTTGAAACTCAACGGCAACGACATTGAAGCATTATATATATATAAAAAAAGATCAGATGATTTTCCAGGAATAATTTCTGAACAGCGAATTTAAGAGAAAGCACATTCCATGCTGGTCAAAGACTGCAATAAATAGAAATTTCATTCCATTTTACATTTCATGTTTTTATGTGAGGTAATGATTGATCAGCATTTTTTAACTTTTATTAATTCAATGCACAGAAAAAAAGGGAACAACAACACAAAAAAGAAGAACAACACAAGAATTCTCGGAAGGTAGGAATTCTGCAGAATATAATTTTCTTTCAAAATTAATCAGCTGTGAAATCCATGATTAATTTTGTGCAAGAAACTTTGCTGAATCTGTACATAGTAGCCAAAATTACCCATGTAATTTTGTTGCTACAATGCCTAAACTTTTTCAACATCAAGGAAAGCAAGCGCATTGATATCAACATTGCAAACAAAATATACTACATTAAAGCTTCCATGTTTAATGTAGTTATTTAGTTTTAAACAGAAATGCTTTTGCTTCCTTAAGACGATTTGGCGAAATTGTGACTTGCAGAAGGAATGAAAGCTTCAATGGAACCTGTCAGTGTTGCCGTAAAGGAAAAGGATGGTTTTATTTTATGGGTTTAGACCATAAAATTCTTGGATTCTTCAGACAGCATTCAAGAAGATGCCAGATTCCTCTCTCTTCATTCCTCATCTGAAACAGGACTCTGTTCTTGGAGGGCACTTTCCAAGGTCAAGAATTCTAAGCCTTGGAAAACTCTTGAAGGAAAACATGCTGAAAACATGGTGGAGTATATGCTGGAATTGCTGAGGATCTGAAGGTTGTTAAAACCCTTTCCATCTTCCATGCTAAGAAATAATTTAGGTCTGCTTTTAAAAGGAATAATAATGGAAACAATATTTTTCTTTAAAAAAATGGACTAGAGATGATTATATCTGTTGGACAGATTTTCTCTATTGAACTGCAGCCAAGAAAATATATGGATATGTGTTTGGCTTGAAAGATCTTTTGATTTACATTTCAGGTTGCTCTAGTAGATTCATGTCTATGGAGATTTTCAGTCATCTAGGTCAGGGGTCCCCAACCTTGGCAAAGCTGGCTGGGGAATTCTGGGAGTTGAAGTCCGCCAGGCTTAAAGTTGCCAAGGTTGGAGACCCCTAATCTAGGTCATGGTTTATCCCCAAGGTGCTTTCTCAAAAGGCAATTGAATTTTCTTTGTTTTTTTCTTTGAAGATGTTTTGCTTCTCATCCAAGAAACTTCAGTCAGAATTGAAGAAGTTTCTTTTTATCTATCTATCTATCTATCTATCTATCTATCTATCTATCTACCTATCTATCTATCTAAATATATCTAAGGCCCTGAGTCCTTCGGGAGAAGGGCGGCATATAAATTACATTAAATAAATAAATAAATAAATTATATTATATTATATTTTAATTATACACAGATACTTTGAAAACAGTGTATTGTCTGGGTCCATTTAGTTTAACAGACGAAAAAACACAATGTTCTGATAATAGTAATAGTAAAAATCATAATTATAATACCGTGTTTCCCCAAAAATAAGACCCTGTCTTATATTTTTTTTGAACCCTGAAATAAGCGCTTGGCCTTATTGCCATGCGCTCAAAAGCCCGATTGGGCTTATTATCAGGGGATGTCTTATTTTGGGAGGAAGAGGGTAACAAAAATAATTATGTTAACTTATTTATACTCATAGTCATGCTAACTCATCTTAGAAATGAAGAAGTTTCTTGGATGAGAATCTACTGGTAGTAGATTCAGTATGTGTGCTTCTGCTTTATCAAGAAACAATAGGAAAAAGCTAATGCTACCAGAGAAAAAGTTCAATACATTACTCAAAAACCTGTTTGTAACATTGTAATTTTAAAAAAAATGTATATACAATTGTAATTAATCAAAATGCAACAATTGAACACATGAGTGCAATTATGGTCCTTATTCTTAAGGACCACAAAGTCATAGGGATTTGGGCCTCTTTAACTATGTATGTAGAATCTTCCCTGAGATTAAAATTCTGCAGAAAACCTCTGATTGCAAACTCTACAGGTGTAAAGGACATTAACATTTGTCATGCCCAGAATTGCTCAGGTGGCATATACATTTATTATTATAACTGCTTCACTACAATGTGAAATCACAGTTCTTTAGCTAATGTTGAACTTCATAGGCATTGACTTCTTCCCTAAAACCTAGGATGTTGTAATATATTGACGTAGTATATGTGCAGATCCAAGCAATGCATCCCTTTGCAATTGCATCATGGAAATTTTGTCCATGCACAGATTTTCTAAGGTGTGTCCAAAGTTTTTTGGGGGTGTGGCACCCAGTGTGCTGTACTGGTACCATCACTATCAGTTTATGCTTTCAATTTCTTTCAGTCTTTCAATTCCTGTTTTCACATCTTGATACTTTGTGACTTTCTCTAAATCTTTGTCTTCTATTCTGTTATTGATGGCCACATCAATTGCCCACACTTTTCTTCTTTTTAATCACAGTGAAATCTGGTGTATTGTGATCCAAGACAATTTGTATTCGGAAATCCCACATTTTAATATGTTCAGTTTTGACTGTTCCCTTAATCTTTCATTACTGGAACATAATCATTTTTAGAGATGTTCCAGGGAATCCATTTGGCACCTGTGCTGTGTCGTTATTTATAATCAATTTGAGCAATCGTCTCGCTCAAGCTGCGTATATGAACTACTGCATCCTTATTCAGGTAGTCCTTGACTTATGACCACAACTGAGCACAACATTTCTGTTGCAGTTAAGTGAGTTTTGCCCCACTTTATGGTCCTTTTTGCCACAGTTGAGAAGCAAATCACTGCAGTTGTTTATTTATTATTATTATTTATTTATTAATCAAATTTCTATACCGCCCTACTCCCGAAGGACTCAGGGCGGTGAACAGCCAAGATAAAACACAGATAATACAAATATTAAAAGTCCCTTAAAATTATTAAATATTTTGGCCGAAACACAGATTAAAACACCCAATTTATAAGATCAAACGAATTAAAAATTTAAAAGAGGAGAGTTAGGCCAGGCCAGCCTGCTGAAATAAAAACGTTTTGAGAGCACGACGAAACGTGCGCAGGTCCGGGATCCTCCGTATCTCCAGGGGGAGCTCGTTCCAGATGGTAGGTGCCCCCACAGAGAAGGCTCTCCCCCTGGGGGCCGCCAGCCGACACTGTTTGGCCGACGGTACCCTGAGAAGCCCCTCTCTATGGGAGTGTACTGGTCGGTGAGAGGCTATTGGTGGCAGAAGGCGGTCTTGTAAATACCCCGGTCCGACGCCATGGAGTGCTCTAAAGGTGGTAACCAAAACCTTGAAGCGCATCCGGAAGACCACCGGGAGCCAGTGCAGCTCGCGCAGGAGGGGGGGTCACATGGGAGCGCCACGTTGCTCCCATAACCACCCGCGCGGCCGCATTCAGTTGTTAAGTGAATCGTACGGTTGTTAAGTGATTCCAGCTTCCCCCATTGACTTTGCTTGTTGGGAGCAGACTGGGATACATGCCAGTTGCCAAGTGCCTGAAGTTTGATCACATGACCATGAGGATGCTGCAACAGTCATAAGTGTGAAAAGTGGTCATAAGTCACTTTTTCAGTGCCGTTGTAAGTTCAAATGATCATTGAATTGGTTGTACCCGTAAGTGAATTTGGTAAATAAAGAGTTAACAAAAAATCCTAAAGGCTAATAATATCCCAAGATCTGTAGTGATACGTGCATTGAGATAGTCTTTTCCAAGCTAACGTCCTGAACTACGGCTAGACTACAGTTCCCATAAATCTCTGTCAAAATGGCCAGTAGCTATTATAGCTTGGAATTATGTGACTTGTAGGCCACAGTTCTGCTAACAGAGCAAACAAGCCTTAGGATTGTTGTTTTTAACAAAAGATCTGCAGCTAAAAGGTGCCTTTGATTTTTAAAAAATCCACTTTATTAATAGTTTTACATCTGCTCTTTGCCATTTATAGATCCAGCAACAGATAAACAAGACTTTGGATGAGATGTCTGACAAACTGCCCTTTTTGCAAGACAAAAATTACCTCAGGAGGCTGCCAGCAACAGGTCTCAGCCATCCAGAATTGTTGAAGAAGATGAAAGAGTACAGCGCTTTGGGTATGACTTTGAGGATCTACTCAAATCTGTTCCTTAGCCAATCCTATGACTATAGATCTGAATATGAGGAAAGATATGGTGTTATCTAATAACTGATACAGAAGCCTTTAAAGAGGTCAAAAAAATTTAAGATCTGATCTGCTTCCATTGTGCCATCGACTACCATCTCTGATTCTCCCAACTTATAATAAATCTTCTTGGTTGGATAAATCTTTGGTTGTGTCTGATACCTTCTGAAAGTGAGCTCTCATTGTTTTAAGTGCTCCAGAATGTAAAAATGGATTACCTTTCCTTGCCTTCCCCCAATGCCAATTGTAAAAATGAACCCTGTTAGTTGCATGCTGAAAATGTAGCTGTTAGGTGTGTCCTGCAGAAATTTGCTCCCAAAGTTATGAATTCCAGCTTCCACTTCTAAACATGGCTGGGCATTCTGTGCTTAACTATAGAAGTAGTCCTCAACAACCACAATTGAGCCCAAAATTTCTGTTGTTAAATGAGACATTTGTTAAGTGAGCTTTGCTCCCATTTTACAACATTTTTTGCCACCGTTGTTAAGTGAATCCAGCTTTCCCATTGACTTCGCTTGTCAGAAGGTTGCAAAAGGGGATCATACACTGCAGCCGTCACAAGTATGAACCAGTTGCCAAGCATCTGAATTTTGATCACGTGGCCATGGGGATGCTGCCAACGTCGTAACTGTGAAAAACAGTCATAAGTCACTTTTTCAGTACGGTCACTAAATGAACTGTTGTAAGTCAAGCAGTACCTGTAATTAGAAGTCTTAGTTAACTAACTAACTAATCTAATTAATTAGAATTAGAACACGGATTGGTCCCACAACAATTAGACAAATTATTGATTGGCCCGGATGAAAAATTGATAACTACATTTTATAATTATTTATTAGAATTTGAAAGAGCCGAGGACATAGTGATGATAGCTTGGGCAAAAAATATAGGACATAACATCGAATTAGAGGATTGGGAAACAATTTGGAACAGAAATTATAAAATAACAAAATCAGCAAAATATAAAGAAAATCAATACAAAATGTTTTATCGCTGGTATTTGGCACTTTCAAGATTAGCAAAGATATATCCAAATTTAACCCCAAATTGTTGGAAATGTGGACAAAAACGGTACCTTCTTTCATGCATGGTGGTTATACCCAGGATCGAAAAAATATTGGAAAAAAATACAAAACTGGTTACAGGAATTAACTGGCGTCCAAATAGAATACACTCCGGAACTGTTTCTTCTGGGGATAACAAAAAAGAAATACGACAAAAAAACAATGTACATTATTTTACATATAATAACGGCAGCAAGACTAGCCTTTGCACAGTGTTGGAAAAACACAAATATACCCTCGGAAGACTTAATAATCAAAAAGGTCTTGGACTGTGCTGAAATGGATAAGATGACATTTGAGCTGAAAGGATTGATGGTTTTGAATATTATATAATATGGGAGAAGTGCAGGGGAGAAATGCTCCCGGTTCAGACTGGATCGCCTGATCTGGTAGCGATGGAGGCGGGTGGTTCGGTTAACCAGTAGCAAAAATCCCTGCCCCTCCCCCCTATGCCCAGCTGAGCCGCAATCATCAGAGGCTTTAAAAAAAAATTTTAAAAACATTTTTTCTACAACCTCTTTGGCCGAAAAAATGCTTTTAAAAGTAAAAAAAAAAAGCCTCTGATGGTCACGTGGCTCAGCTGGGATCGTCAGAGGCTTAAAAAAAAAGCTTCTGCCGATCAGGCAAGTCAGCTGGGATCGTCAGAGGCTTTAAAAAGCATTTTTTTTTGCAACCTCTTCAAGAGGTTGTAGAAAAAATGGTTTTAAAAGTTAAAAAAAAAGTTGGCCATGCCCACTCAGTCATATTACCCACCCACCCCCACCAAGCCACGCCCACAGAACCAGTAGAAACAAATTTTACGTTTCACCACTGGAGAAGTGGTATAAATGGATTGAGAATAGAAAAAAATATGAGATAAAGTAGGATTGAATTTAGTTAGAATGTATAGGATAAAAGTGAAATATAGTAATATGTCATGTAAATGGTCACAGTTATGTACAAACTTTCTTCTTTTTGTATTTTAATTGTTAAAAATCAATAAAATATTTATTAAAAAAAAGGAATTAGAACACAGAAGACCAGCCTAATGTTTCAACCAGTAATTGGCAACGCTTTCAGAAATGCGTATATGTTAAATTGGTTTATCTTGGATTAAGCTGCTTCTCTTGCAAATTTATTTATTTATTTATTTATTTATTAAATTTCTATACCGCCCTACTCCTGGAGGACTCAGCGGTGAACAGCCAGGATAAAATAAAGATAATACAAACATTAAAAGTCCATTAAAATTATTAAATATTTTGGCCGAAAAACAAATTTAAAACACCCAATTTATAAAACAAATTAAACGATTTAAAAATTTAAAAGGGAGAGTTAGGCCAGACCAGCCTGCTGAAATAAAAATGTTTTGAGAACACGACGAAACGTGCACAGATCCGGGATCCTCCGTATTTCTGGGGGGAGCTCGTTCCAGATATAGGAAGCATCAACATGCCAAACTGACTGGCAGTTACAAACTAAGATAATGTGAACCAGAAACAAAGTATGGCTTTGATTTTAAAAGAGCTTTCATGTAATGAGTCAACATTTTTCCCCTCTGTATTTTTAGGTAACGTACATTGGGAAGACCGCAAAGTCTCTGGGACAGTGTACAGTGGAGATGAGAAACTCGTTAATCTGCTTGTTAAGGTAATACAGCATAAAATGCTTGGAGAATTGCCTTTTGTGATGTATGTGTATAATTAAAAGCTGTATCAGTGCATTCCAGATGAGATTGATTAGTTGATTGCAATGATATTCCATTGCAATCCAATAATTCTTGATGGCTTATTTGATACCTAATGTAGAAAAATAGCAACACTTCCACGGTATGTCTAAAATTGCTGATAAAATTACAGTCATAAAACTCCAAGCCAGGAGATACAAAATAATTGAAACGAAACACCAGAAAAGTAAAAGAAAATAGAAACTATACAGTAGAGTGAAGTTCTGACAAGCAAAATCAATGGGGGAAGCCAGATTCACTTAACAACCATGTTACTAACTTAGCCACTGCAACGATTCACTTAACTGTGGAACTAAAGGTTGCAAAATGGAGCAAAATCCATTTAACAAATGCCTTGCTTAGCAACAGAAATTTTGGCCTCTATTGTGGTTGCAAGTCGAGGACTAGCTACCTGTCTTTGCGAACTGAAAATGGAAAGAGGTTGCTGCATTCTACATATCGGTGGACAATAACATCTTTATGAAGGGAAAGGAGTTACAGAAGGAAGGAACGTCGGTCGGTGGCAGTATAGTTTCAAGGGGCTATTTTTCTTTTCCTTCAAGGTTTATGAGGAATTTGCATGGACTAATCCACTTCATCCAGATGTATTCCCAGGTGTGAGGAAGATGGAAGCAGAGGTTGTGAGAATGGCTTGCACGCTTTTTCATGGTGGACCTAAATCATGTGGAACAGTAAGTAAGAGGACAAATGTTACCCTTGTCCTCTTATCTTTAAGGCAGCCACAGTTTTTATTTACATTTACATGTTAAACAATCCATAGACATATTGCATATTTTCCAGGATTTATTTTCAAAGCATCTTAAAAAATTTCTGGCTTTTGTATCCCGGGTTGGTTTAGCTACATGAACTGATATAACGCATCCTGCTAGTCCAGTGGTTGGCAATCTTGAAACACTCAAAGAGCCACTTGGATCCGTTTCCCACAGAAAAGAAAACACAGGGAGCCACAAAACTCTTCCCGTGCCTGACTATTTCCTGAGCGGCCAGAAAACTAGCAAAACTAGCATATGTAGTTGAATTAAACATTCTGTTTTCTTCTGAAACTTTTCTTTTCTTGGATTTATCCATGGTTGGTCTACTGGGGGTTGAAAAGCTCAATAGATTGCGTGACAGTGGGTGTCACACTTTGGCAATATACTTATTTCTTCCTGTTCTCAGGTAATATACTTGTTCTTGATTTCCAGAAGGCTATTGGTGTTAATCTTTTACAGTAGTAAATAACATGGTTCCTTTTAGCCCAAATATTGTTGCCCAAACTTATGTTGGTCATGGTCATCTCCATTTGTCTTGGTCCTTGCAGCTCTTCCCACATGAACACTCATCTTTTGCTTTTCACTGTCTCCACTTGCCCTATAGTTGCAGTTTGAACATCCTATTTTTCTGTACTCGCCTCTTCCCAAATTGTTTTCCACCAAAGAGAGCTAAAAAAACTGGTCCATCAACTTCTGTTCTTTTCATTGTCTTTTTATCTCACTGTTCAATTTTCCATTCTCTCATCTTCCTAGCTGGGTAATAATGCAAAAAAGGAAGAATTCAAAATAACCTGACCAAGAATAATGCTGAGGAAAGAAATGAAAAAGATGCAGTGTTTTTCCTCCTGCCATTGGCTCTTGGACTTGACTTTTCCCTATTTTTCAATTCTACGTTTCTACAAGAACTTGTCTTGGGTAATGGCTCAAGATACCTGGAGTTATGGTCTAAAACCACAGTTTACTCTTTGTGACAGATTTCCTCATACAAGGGGTCTGCTTCAACAAAGATATGTTCTACCATCTCCAGTCATCAGTTATGTCCAGTGGGGTTTATGGGAACGATAGTACCAATCATCTGAGGAGGCCCTCTGGAAAAGGCTGGTGTAAAGATTACAGATCAAGTTGTTTTCTTAAACCCAACAAAGCAACAAAACAGAATTCCATTGTACATGATGAAACGCGAACTATGCTCTAGGAGGGAAATGCCTTGTATTTTTTTCTCCTTTCAAAGAAAGCCTGCCTTTATCTTTCAACAAGCATGCAATACTGTAATGATCCAACACTTCACTCCATTGTCAGGAGAAGAATGTCATCATTGGGTTAATGGGATGATGACTTTAGCAACATATTGTTTTCTGTCAGTACTTTCACAATGGTTGGGATTCTTCTGCTAACGGTGAGTTAGGTAACATCAAAACATAGTTGTGCAAGATGATAACTTCTTACGAGTGGGAATGACATGTTATTGTCTTGTTTCAACCATGCCAGAGAGAGAGAGAGAGAGAGAGAGAGAGAGAGAGGGAGAGGGAGAGGGAGAGGGAGAGGGAAGGAGGGGAACAAAATAGTGTGATTTTCATCTGAGTTTGATGGGGAATAAAGCTGACTCAGTGGCTAAGACGCTGAGCTTGTCGATCTGAATATAAAATTCCACCCTGCCCTCCCCCCCCTTTTTTTTGCATGCAGAAGGAGTTCTCATTTCCTCTTCATGTTCCAAATATATAAATAAGTGCTGAAGAATGTTTAGCATCAAGAGGTTTGGCAGCCAAGACAGCTACAAAACTCTTTGAGAAAGTTTCATGATTTGTTCCGGATAGATAGTAATTGTATTAGTAGCAGAATAATTAATATGATGTCACAGTGCCTCAAGAATTGGAAATTGGTAGTGCCAGTGGGAGTGGGGGGAAAGTAAGGTTCATGGATTTCGTGTATGATGTTGAATGTAACCCAACCAGAGAAAGAGAGACAAGAGACAAGGAGTTTTGTTCTCTATGCCTGTTTATTCCTCTTTTTAAGGATATACAGTACCATTTTCTCCGTTCAGTTTTAAGACAGACCTGCTATGTATCACCCCTCTATTTAGGTTTCTCACTGGTTTTTGATGTGTTGTGTTAAAGCAACTTCCCCTGTCTGTCTTTTTTTGCTTATACGTTGGATTTTCCTTTTAATCTGGGTATTAGTTGAAAGAATCAAACATCTGTGTTTGAAAAAACTATAAGCTACTCATGAGTCAACCGGCATTGGCTGGATGCCCAGCGTCCTGTAATAATCAGAAAAAAAACAAAACAAGTCTTGTGAGAATGATTTATGTGCTCCCAAGTAGGTGACAAGTCATTTGCAAAACAAAAGGTTTTTAGCAGGCGTTAGAAAGGATCTTGACTCCTGTTTTATATCGAGCCTCAATTTCCTTGGCTTAATAATGTGCCTATCTTGTTGCCCAGCAACAGAGGTGGTTTAAAGAAAAAAAAAATCAGATGCTTTAACAAAATAACTGTAATCGACTTTTCTTTCCCGGTTCAGTAATGACTCAAGATGAATATTCTGAACTTTAAAATACCAAACTCTGCCCTTTGCCCAGATACACGATTTATATCTAAACCAGATAGCTGTAATATTGTCTTGATTACTATGCCTGCTCATCCATCCTTTTCTTCCGGAGTTCAGGGTGATACAAATAACACTTTCTGTTCTTATTTTTCCTCCAAATCAACAGCCCTGTGAGGCAGAATGGCCGAGGGCGTCGTTAAAACCGAGCCTCTTGAATGCTAGTCCAATTCCTTAATTATTATAATTCACTGTCTGTCAACATTTGTCTATTGAATCAGTCCAGCTACAGGAACAAAACGTTGCTTAAAATGTTTGCTACCCAATATTTAAATGCATCTTCAGTTTGAATTAGAAGAGATCTTAGGACACAAGAGGTCATTTGTTAAGATTTATTAGGATTGCTGTAGCATGTAAAGGTCAAAGATTTCCATAGATATACTCTACACTAGTGGTAACTACTTAGTTAGAAGAATTTGGCAACTTTAAGGGGTGTGGACTTCCGGTTCTCAGAATTCCCTAGCCAGCATGCTGGGAGTTGAAGTCCATACCTCTTAAAGTTGCCAAGTGTTGGAAACACAAGTGAAAAGGTTTTATGAATGAAAGCAAATATATGTATCCCAGGGTAATGTTGCAGAATCGAATCTGTGTTGGTCAGTTTTATTTTTTAAGTGTATTTTTTTAAAAAAATATGTTTAAAAAATTTTACATTTTAAATTTTTTTTTAAAAATGGAGACTAACTAAGTGTACATTCTATTATGGTTTTCCCATGATCACTTGGTTATCTGATGTGTTTTTATTTCTTTTGTTATAGATGACATCTGGAGGAACAGAGAGCATCCTGCTGGCCTGTAAAGCCTACAGAGATTTGGCTTTTGAAAAAGGGATAAAATATCCAGAAATGTATGTACCTCTTGTCTCTCTGGCTGTCACAGTGGGTTTACTATGATGGGAATTAGTTTTATTTTTAAGTAGCACATTCCATTGCTCCTTTTTCTGGCATGATCTCAAGAAAACCGAAACGAAGTATTATAACCAAAAGTTTAAAACAAGCAATAGATTATGAGGCATAGATTATGAGGCTGATTTGCCTGAAACCATCATTATGTTTAGTGACAATTTAAGGTTGGAAAGTACCCTGAGCTATAGAGAAGTGAAAGCAGTCCTGTCTTCTTGCAGTAATGCCATGCAAGAAGAGGGAAGTGAGGAGTCCATGAACCTAAACACATACTAAAGCCTTTTTCATTTTTTCTCTGTCACAGTGAATCTGGCTCTTAAAATTGCATTAGTTTGCTTTCATAAAAATAATTTCAGATAGGCAAAGTCTCTTTGAGGCAGTTACTATAAACCTAAAGAACTGCTCTGTGTGCCTTTGAATAGGCACTATATTTTGCTATAAAGTATTGTGTGCTGCTTTGATTTTCAAAGTTGGTTTCTAATTCTCTGAAGGCTACTCTCTTGTGAACTCAATACGGTGAACTACCGTGTTTCCCCGAAAATAGGACCTATCTCGAAAATAAACCCTAGCCTCATTTTTAAGTGTGCAACTAATATAAGTCCTATCCCAAAAATAAGCCCTAGGTAAAGGGGGTGGGCGTGGCCAGCACAGGAAGTGGCGAGTGCACGCGGGCTGATGGTCCAGCAGCAGCCGCAGCCTGCGCAGCGCAGGTGAATTGATTACCTGTCCAAGCAGCAGACGGAGGCAGAGGTGTGTGTCGGGGGGAGGCAGGCAATCTGGATGTGCTGTGTGGGCTGTAGGAAGGCCAAAAGTCGGTGGACTGGAGTGGCCGGGTGGCCGCAGGAGTCAGCCTGCCTTCTGCCCCTCACCTCTGCCTTCATCTGCTGCCGGTGCCATCGTGCGAAGACAAGCAGACCGCCCGCTCCGGCCCACCGACACTCAGCTTTCCTGCGGCATGTCCGGATCAACTGCCTATCATCCCCCCCACGCCTCTGCCTCCATCTGCTGCTTGGGCAGGGAATCAACTCACCTGCACTGCGCGAGGGCTGTGCAACCCCAGAGTGCGCCGGCCAAGGGGCTGGTGACAGATATCACCGGTCCCCACGCTCTTACTTCCTCTTGTGCGCGTGCCGAGGGACAAAGCGCGCAGTCAGGCTAATCACCCTGAAATCGTGTTCCCCCCAAAATGAGCCCTTGTGCTTATTTTGGAGCCCCCCAAAATGTAAGACCAGGTCTTATTTTCAGGGAAACACGGGTAGATATGAAGTTCTTTGGATCCAATGTCTTTTCTAGGAAAAAGAAAAAATAGGATGAAGAATAGGAAGAAAAAGAATAGAGTAAGAAAAATAAAATGACTCCCCCCTTCACTATAACAATTTAAACAATTTTAGGGACTGATCACCTTCTCTTAAATAATCTTTTTCCCCCATATCTCATCTCTTATCTATAAACAAAGTCTTAAAGCCTCATTATTTCAGTCCTGATCAGCAAAAGTCCATAAGGGTTACCAGAGGTAACAGTTTATCCATTTTAACCTCAATCAAATAAACCTTGCTTTTACTTTTAACGGTCTTGTTCTTTAATCCCTGGTTTCAATTTTCTCAAGCACATTGTGGCTAGTAGCTACTACTCAACCTCTAAAATAAATGCTCTTGTCAGTTTTAATTCACATTCTTGAAGGAAGATCATTTGCGAAATGCATTTTCTTTTGTTATTTTATATGAGTAACTGACAGGAGATAATTTCTTTTTATGCCAAAATGGAAAAACAATGTCATGAAAATATAATAATATTTCTGGCCACGCCATCTACTAGATATCTTAAGAGTTACAAGATATCTACAATTTTTGGTCCTCACCACAACAATCGAAGTGAGGCCAACTGTTTGGGTGGTTCCGTTTTTATTACTGTCCCTGTTTTTTAATTTGCCGCAACAATAATAATCATTATAGGTGGGCAAATATTACAAGCCACAGTCTGAAGCTTTCTCTGGATTCACCCAAATATTTAGCTCTATCCAGGAGTTCTGTTTGTTATCTCACTTTGGTGACTTCCTCCAGCAAAAGTTAACATTAGCAAACCTATTAAACGTAGTTTACAATTAACAAACTCTTGCCAGGAAATCTTGAATGAGAAAACTTTAGCTTTTGCTGCAGATGGGCAGGGTGAAATTTGCAGTGTTTTAGAATGCCAGAAGGCTGAAGATAATAGGCATTATTGTCCAATGCAGACTGAGGGGATCGTGTTGGAAAAAGTGACTCTTGATTTGAATATATTATCTGCCTGTTGGTTCCATCAGTAATATTAAAGATGTAGCCTAAAGATTAAAGGTAGAAAGATGGAGGTGATCTTGGAGATTCTATGGGGATGGGCCTAGTGGTGGGATTCAGCCGGTTCGGGCCAGTTCAGGCAAACTGGTTGTTAAATTGCTGACTGGCCTCTCCCCTCCCCCCTCCCCTTCCAGGAGTTCCCACGTACCCCATTTTGGCTCCCAGGTAAATGCAGGGAGGCCTACTAGGCCCAAAACGGGGGTGGGGGAAAGTGCGCCCTTCCCCCCATGGCCTGTTTTTGCTCCCAGGGGGGCGCAGGAGGCCGAGTGCTGCCTGTCACACCCTCTGGCCCCGCGTATCATGGCCATACCCACCCAGCCAGTCATTAGGGCAGAGAACCGGTTGTTAAATTATTTGAATCCCACCACTGGGTATGCCTATTAATTTAGATTTTTCCTCTTCTCCATTAGTCTCATCCCTACCAGTCCAGAAAAGAAAGGAAAGGAGTTTGGTCTGGCGTGCTGCCAATTTTTCCTAAAATGTATTATTTCCGGTGTTGGTTTTGTCTTTTAGGTTGGTGCCAGAAAGTGCCCATGCAGCATTTGACAAGGCTGCCCATTATTTCAGTGTTAAGATTCTGCGTATTCCGTTGACAGAATCGATGCAGGTGGATGTGAAGGTAAACCCCCCCCCCCCCCCCGGGCATTTTCAGATCTTTGAACGGAGTGATGGAACCTTTGTGAGAGGCGGGTGGGTGGAAGGAAGTAAATTAATACAAGGAGTTCTTCAGATGATTCACTTTTAATCCCTTGATTTGTATACAGGGTTATATGGATTCCTAATGACTTTGTCCTAATTTTTTTAGGCAATGAAGAAAGCAATTACCAAGAATACAGCCATGTTGGTCTGCTCAGCCCCACAATTTCCTCATGGAAGTATTGACTCCATTGAGGAAGTAGCAAAGGTAATATTTTTGCATTGGTAACAAAAGACGCTGCAATTCCAACCAGAGTTGAGCCCAAAATTTCCGTTTCCTAAGTACGACTGTTGTTAAGTGAGTTTTAGAACCTTTTCTTTTGCCACAGTTGTTAAGTAAATCACTAAAATTGTTAAGTGAATCATGCAGCTGTTAACTGAATCTGGCTTTCTCCCTGTTGACTTTGCTTATCAGAAACCAGCTGGAAAGGTTATAAATGGTAATGACATGATCCCAGGACAATAACAATAGCACTTAGACTCATATACCGCTTCAGAGTGCTTTACAGCCCTCTCTAAGCGGTTTACAGAGTCAGTCTATTGCCCCTAACAATCTGGGTCCTCATTTTACCGACCTCGGAAGGATGGAAGGCTGAGTCAACCTTGAGCCTGGTGAGATTCGAACTGCCAAATTTCAGGCAGCCGGCAGTCAGCAGAAGTAGCCTGCAGTGCTACTGCTGATTACTGCAGCTCATATGCAACTGTCATAAATACATGACAGTTGCCAAGTGCCCAAATTTTGATCACATGACCATAGGGATGCTGCAACAGTCTCACCTGTGAAAACTGGTCCTAACTCATTTTTTCCACTGCCATTGTAACTTCAGACGATCACTGAACAAATGGCTGTAAGCAGTGGTGGGATCCTCCTGGTTTAACAACCGGTTTGGTGATCGCGCTGCGTGTGTGTGCACAGGTTGCAGAAATCTTCACTTCCTGGTTTTTTCAGGGGAGTAACACAGCTGATTTGTGCGGCAATCTGCTCTACCGCGTGAATCAGCTGAGAAGATAAAGGTAGGAAAATAGTGCGGGTGGGTGGGCTTATCTGATCGTCGGGACGAACCGGTTCGCTCCCAGCTGATCGTCGGAGCTACCGGTTCACCTGAACTGGTCCGAACCGGTAGAATCCCACCCTTGGCAGTAAATCGAGAACTACCTTTAGGTATTTGAACTACCTGCCAGGTACTTGGGCATCACTGTTTTGTGGCTTTTGTGCCCTGCTGCATTAATTTTGCTGTGGTTTGGAGTTTTACTGTTCATTTCCAAAAATGTCCCCCAGCAATAGGGCAGCATCTAAATCACTAAATGGAAACTCGTCTGTGCTGACTTGAAGCAATAAAGTACCAATTCTGGTTGTCTTTGCATCACTGTAATTGTATATGAGAAAGCATGCTTCTAAAAAGAAGGTTTGGATGTACATGCTTGTGTGTAAAATACCATTTTTTGGGCCTTATTTGTCATTTGGATTTATGATATGTTAATGAAAGGAACCCATCAATTATTTGAGTTTGGATTCCAGACCTATCCAGGAATTGGGAATCAGACTGAACTTTAGAAGAAAGACCAAAACTTAGTGATAACTACGTACATGTACACAATTCAAGTTGAAAGTTTTGCTAGTTCAGGACAGATTTTTTCCAAAGATCCAAGGTAGGTACTGCCAGGGGTCTAGATCAGCTTCACACTGCATCCCGTATTCCATATATTTGATATGGTTAAAGCTAGTAAAAAAAATTTGGATTTCACCACTGGGCAAAACTCACTTAAGAATTACAGAAATTTTGAGCTCAATTGTGCCCAATTGCCAAGCACTATCTGTAAGGAATATGTTTATCAAGCTTCAAGCTCCACTTCTGCGACCCAAGAAGAAAATGACTTAAGTTCTTCTCCTGTCTTGATGCAGCTTGCCCTGAAATACGATATTCCCTTCCATGTGGATGCCTGCCTGGGAGGCTTCCTCATTGTCTTCATGGAGAAGGCCGGATTTCCTTTACAGGGGTGTTTTGATTTCCGAGTGAAAGGGGTCACAAGCATTTCTGCAGATACGCATAAGGTGAGCCAAGGAAGATTTGTATGATGGGAGTTGCTTTGAAACTGCGTTAAGCTGGATCGGGCATATTTCCTCTGAATTGTTTCCAAATCAGTATCATTTTTTAAAAAAAAAACATTTGTTTCTTCATTTGATTTATATAGGCACCCATCTCACTTTTATGTAAGATCTCCGACCTCCGGGCGTTTCGCTACGCATTGAAGACCCTATTATTCCGCCAGGCCGGACTAACAACACAATAGTTTTTAAATTGGGATATTTAAATTTATTGGGGTTTTAAATCTGAGCCACTTTATTTAATTATTTTAAATTTTATATTGTTGTTTTGTTTGTGTTTTTAAACAGCTGTACACCGCCCTGAGTCCTTTGGGAGAAGGGCGGTATAGAAATAAAATTATTATTATTATTATTATTATTATTATTATTATTATTATTATTATTATTATTATTATTATGTGACTCTAGGCAGAATATCTATGGGGATTCTTAATCATCTAGGCCATTGTTGTTCCAAAGGTTTATTTTCCAAAGGCAACTGGACTTTCTTGTGAGTGGTGTGGTGGTCTAGAGGTGGAGCTCTCGCCTCACAATCAGGAGGCTGTGAGTTCAATCCTAGGTGGAGGCAGATATTTCTCTCTCTGGGCACACTGAGAATGTATCTGCTGAACAAAAACTCCGCATTGGCAACAGGAAGGACATCCGGCCAGGAAAACACCCAGCTCCATTCAGTTGCCCAGACTCCACTCCGCAAGAGATTATGGGGTCGTTAAAAGAGGATGATGATGATGATGATGATGATGATGAATTGGGCTTTCTTGTTTTTCTTTGAAAATATTTTGTTTCGCATCCAAGAAGCTTTTTCAGTTAGAACAGAAGAAGCTTCTTGGATGAGAAGTGAAACAACAAACAACCCCCCCCCCAAGAAAGTCTAGTTGCCTTTTAGAAAAAAGCACCATTGGGGAGACTCCAGGCATCTTAAACAATAGAATAAATAAATGAAATACACAATAAAAAAACCCCAGAGAATAAATATATCATGGCAGTTTGTTTAAAATTGCAGCCCTACACCAAAGTACATCAATGAGAGTGATTCCTGCTAAACATCAAATACTTGTCTGCTCTTGAGAGCATGTGGGATTCTCCACCTTTGGAGCAAGACACAATTTGTTTTCATGACTTTACTCTTTAGAATTACTCTTCGGAAGAATTCTAAATACCTCTTAATTAAAAAACAAACAGTGCTAAGGCTTTGCCAACAGTGATAACAGCACATCTCTTATTTGATAAATCAATAGAGAATGATTTAACTTAGCAAATCTTCTAATTCCTGTTAAAGGGTCTTGGAAGCTGTCAAGGGGTGATTTTGGTGGGGGGGGGTTATTTTGCAACTTGAATATTGGCTCTTGCTTTACAGTACGGCTACGCTCCAAAGGGCTCCTCAGTGATACTGTACAGCGATGTGAAATACCGACAGCACCAGTTCTTCATTGCTCCTGATTGGCAAGGAGGAATTTACCCCTCGCCCACTATTGCTGGTTCCAGACCTGGATGCCTTATTGCAGCTTGCTGGGCAACAATGGTGCACTTAGGAGAACAAGGTTATGTGGAAGCCACCAGGAAGATCATCTCAACTACACGGTTCATCGTATCTGAGTACGTATACAATTTCCATTTATTCTCTATATTTTATGCTTCCTTCTCCTTTAGCAGGATTCGGTAACCTTAAACACTCAAAGAGCCACAAAGGTCCTAACCGGAAGCCCCCCGTTCAATTCTGGAGCCAACCGGTAGTCCGGTTCCCCCATCATAGAGTCTCCTCCTAGCGTGGCATCCTTTTTTCCTCTGCTGACCGGAAGTCCGGTTCCCGCACCATAGAGTCTACTCCTAGCGTGCCGTCCTTTTTCCTCTACCTGTCTTAACCGAAAGCCCTATCAATTGTGGAGCCGACCGGCGATGGGAAGCTGCAGCAGAGGGATGAAAGAGCCACATGTGGCTCCAGAGCCGTGGGTTGCTGACCCCCGTCCTTTAGGAACATTAGTGAAAAACCAGTCCTTTTTTGAGCACAGATAAAGATAACTCTTGCAAGGCTCTCTCTTGATGTTTGGCAGAAAGAAGAGCCGTATTGACTGAAATAGTAGAAATTAGATATGTGCAGTTCAAAAGGCTTTCATGCTTGCTCCTTCCATCTCCTTTTTTCCAAGATATTTTTCATATTTAGAAGAAAGATGAGATTTGGAATATCGCTCAACGAAGCTCCATGAAGTAATATTTGAATTAAAAGTGGAATTTTTTAAAAATCAAATATCAACTAACAATGTCTGCTAAAGGATTATATGGTACATTTGGACAGGACTGTGTGCGACGTGGTGGTTCAGCGTTTAAGATGTTGGGCTTGTTGGCTAGAAAGCTGACAGGCGAGGTTTGAGACCCAAGTGCTGCAAGATGGGGTGAGCTCCCATTCTCACTCCAACCTAGCAATTTGATGTGGCCTCTTGTTGCAAACTCTTCATTTAAAGTCAAGTTGTTTTATAAAGTAATAATATTTCACGTTGCTTTGGATGATGTTTTGTCCTCTTGTTCTGTTCTGTGGATACATACACAGGACACAGGTCCAGGTACGTAAAGAAAGAAAATAATAATAATAAAGAAAACAACTCAGCCCCCCCCCCCCCCCAAATTTTCTCTGTTAAGACTAACTGATTCCTGGGTCAAAAAAGGGACAGCAATTATAATAAATTACAACTTTTGATAGTGGTCTTTAAACAGCATAATTTACAGCATTGAATGTAACTTAGAGGACCATAGACTAAATGGAACGTATTTTCTCTTTAAGGTTGCAGAAAATTGACCACATCCGTATCATTGGCAAACCAGAGGTTTCTGTCTTTGCTTTCAAGTCTGATTCATTTGACATTTACCGATTGTCAACCCTGTTAATAGCCAGAGGATGGAATCTTAATATTTTACAGTTCCCTCGATGGTGAGTTTCTGGAATTTTTCCCCCCCACCACTTTCAGCTGAGGGAGGCAGAGCATTGGTCAAGTACCTAAAATTCTTGGATTGAGCAGACTCATGGCAAATTTGGACCTCTTGTTCCTCCAGTGGCCAGTCAGAAGTCTGTGGAAACTCACAAGGAGGAGTTCAAGACAAAACTTCCATGTTTGTTGCATCTCAATAGCTGGAATTCAGAGATCAATTGTTTCTGATCTTGGGCTGATATACATCTGTTAGGCATACATAGCTTCGAGAGCCTTAATCCTCCATGATTTTGTCTTAATTTGTTTTACAGATCCAGACACTGGATCTGGACGGGGCTTCCATAATTATTAGAAAGGGCGGGGGAAAATTTTCTCCATATCAGGAAATGCCTTTCTCACATCTATCCTCCAGGACATATATTGAAGTTATCAGTTTTTGAAAAACAATGCAAGAGAAAGAGATACATTCTCCCATTAGCTTTAGCTATTTTGCATGGTTTCTCATTCAGAATAACAATTTTGCGGATCAGGAGAAGGGGGAGGGGATGGTTGGCATAAGTGGCCGGCAAGCACGTGTGTGCAGCTCCATTTGCACGAGTGACATACATGTGCGCCTGCCGCTCACTCAAATGGAGCACGAGTGAGGACATGCGTGTGTTCATGTGCGCTCACCGGGCGTTTACACGGCTTAGTTGCAAACCCCTCATGGCTCACTGGTTGAGGTCCCCTGTCTTAAAGCAACTTGTCATAAGTTGAGCACTACCTATATTGAACTTGGTCAAATTTTTCAGTTTAAATTTAAAGTCAGTTCAATTTCAAACATATTGAAAGAGAATTGGCTTTAGAAATTATTTCAATAATATTTGAGAATATTATTATTAAGAAGTTCTTGTGAATGGTGGTTGGTATTGTGACACCTGCTGAAAATAGCCAAGAGATATTTATGAACGGCCTGTGGTTCATTGTACAGTCATCTCTCCAATAGTCTGCAGCTTCTTTCTGATTTCCCCTAATTCAGTGAAGACTCAATAGAAGATACAAAGAATTCGGGTATTGTGCTTTCTTTTAGCAACAGTGCTGTTAGTTTACTAGTAAGAGAGATCTTGCCCTTAAGAAATTGTTGACAAGAAATTGTATCTCCACTCCCACTTTGCCTATAAATTTGTTGGAGAATTATGAAATTTCGTTTGTGCCTAACCTGTTGTGGCCTGCCAGTTGCCAGCTGAGCTGGAGGCAGAGTTGGACGATGAGGAGGTTGGGGAGGAACTTGGGCCAGTTCTGGAGTCTGGGGAAGACTGATGGAAGCTCTGCGTCGGACGCAGAAATAGAGCCAGGGCCATCCGACATTTCCCAGCCACCGGAGAAGCAGCTGCCTTTGGAGGCTGATATGAGTGAGGAGGAAGAACAGCTGCGGCTTGTTCCAAATGCACGTATGCGCAGAGCAGTTAGGAGAGGTGAACAACAGAGGACAAGGAGTTGACTCGGGAAGCAAAGCACATGTGGATGCTGAATGGTCCCTCCCTGGCTGGGGAATAAATAGAAGGAAAGGGGAGTGGTTGTCGTAGGAGACAACCGTTCGTATTTCTGAAGATTTTGCTCATTGTGTTTCGTGCCACAAAGACTGCTTGCCGGAACTTAATTTGCAGCCTTTCATCTGGGAGCTCACGGCCTTGCAATTATCACAAGGAACTGATAAGGTCTGTTACTGCAGTTAACTCCTTGAAGGACTGTTGCCTGGACTTTTCGGTGGGTGAATGCAATTAATTCACAGGAGGTAAATAAAGAGGGGGGTTTTCGTGACAAGGAGTCTGTTTCTTGCTTCTGCTAAGGCTGGGTTAGAACAAAACCCTGGGTAAGACTCTTAAGATGACATGAAGTGAAACAGGCTTTCCAGAAAGCTGAAATTATAGTATCATAATATAATAGACCAATGATGTTGCTATTGAAAACCTTCACAGGGTCTCCTGTGTATAATTTGCATAATAAATGCAGGAAAAAAAATACCCACTCCCTACAGAAAGTACACATTTCATTATAATACAGGAAAGAAATATGGTAAGCAATAACTTAAGTGTGTGTTCAGATGTTGCAAAAATAGGGAACTGTCACCTTCAGTTAATTTGTAATATGGATGTGATACGCAGCTAGTGAATCAACATGATTTCTCATGCACTTTCCAGTTCTGGCTAGAGTATGATCAAGAAACAAAAGGTTCCGATTCTGAAGAAAAGTTAACATTTTACCTTTCTCTTATCTCTTTCCAAGTATTCATTTTTGCGTAACGTTGCTACAAACAGAACCTGGGGTGGCTGAACAACTGGTGAAGGATATCAGAGAGTGTGTCTCTGAGATCATGAAGAATCCAAAGGAAAAGACCACTGGCATGGTAAAAGAAATTTTGCATTTTTGTTTTTGACGTTTCCTATCATGGAAACATAGAGAGACAAAGACAGTGGCACTTGCAGTTGGTAGAAAGCAAATCAGAGAATAGGACTTAAACCCTAGACGTAGCCTGAAAAATCAGATTGGAAGTTTGGCAATCATTGCTAAATTGACACCCAAGATCCTGTAATACCTATATTTCAGTAATACCTATATTTCAGCCGTGGGCCAAGTATTTTTATTTAGTCGACGCTGGCTAGTCTGCTAGATTCATTCAAAGAGATGTCCGGTCAGACTGTAATTCACACATTTCTTTATTACATCTTAATTAGTCTACTAATTAATTGCACTGCATTTACTTTAGCTTATTGTTGAATATGTTCAGTGAGTACTAAGCTATTGGCCAGGACTAGTTAGGACGCAGAATATTTCTTTGCTTAGCAGAGTTACTTGGGCTGCCCTTCCCTTCCAGGTACGAATCATGGAATTGATTAAAGAAATAAATGATTTGAATATAAACTAGTTGGGGGAACTTACTTCTCTAGCATTACTTTACGTTAGCATGGAGGTCTTTCAGAGAACTCTTTATCTGGGTGCGCTACAATCTGGTGCGCACTGGATGGAAATTCAATAAAGGGCTTTTTTTCAGGTTCTCTCTGTGCATAAGCATTGTCATTTTCTGTTATATCTTTTATGTTTCAGCTTTCTTTAGAATTTCTGTAAGGTGTCCTGGCCTTACTACACAACCCCTTTATACCTAGGGATTTGATAACTAAGAGAATCTGCTCGGTTTTAATGTTTTTTAAATGGCCTTTCATTTTAATCTGCTCCTGATTTTTATATGGCTTGTGGTTGTTCATTTCATAAGCATTGGATTTTATCGTTAGCTATTTTGGGCATTATTTATGCTTTTTTTTTAAAAAAAATTGTATACTCTGTTTTATCTCGGCTGTTCACCGCCCTGAGTCCTGCTGGAGAAGGGCGGTATAAAAATCAAATCAAATCAAATCAAATCAATAAATCACAAGTAACACATTTCAGAAGCAATGTTGCGTGGAATAAACCTTAGCTGATCTTTGTGTTCTGTTTTGTTTTTTTCTTTTCAATTCAGAGTGCAATCTATGGTGTGGCACAAACCATTCCTGACAGAAACTTGGTTTCAGAAATTGTTGGTGGTTATTTGGACAGCCTCTACAGCACAGGTGTGGAGTCCCCCTTGACTGATACGCACATGAATGGTTCTCCAAGCCCCCACTGATTTTTAGTCATCTATCTCAGTTGTTGGATGAAGACACACTAAACAATTCAAAGGAAAGGTAATATCACTTGGAAGCGTTTCTTCTGCAGTTACAGCTCACAAGGCAGTTTGATCTGTTGGCATAACATTCCCCCTTAGGTGAAACACAGGTTCAACCCCCTAACTTAGATTGGCTGTTCAGATTTGTGAAACTTCAGGAATACTCTCTCTCTCTCTCTCCTGTAACTTCTGATAATTATTTGTATTTCTAATGATGACTCACTGCTGCTTCTAGTTGTCCAAGAAACGGCAGGCTTAAAAGGGCAATACAAGTCTGTTCCATCTTTGTTCATGCTCAGGTGTTTCGAATTACTTCAGTGGATAGATACAGATCTCTTGGTTGATGTTCACACTGAGCAGTGAATTCAACGAAAGGTTGCACATCCTTCACAGATGATAGGATAAAGTCAGGGTGACTGGTTCACTCTGTGGGAATTTGCTCCTAATGAGAGGAAATGGATCAAAGGAAAAAAGGGACACGTCCTTCTTTCCTTGTACCTTCGGGGTGCTTTTCTCTTTTCCCTAGAATTTTTTTTTTTTGACTGTGACACCCTTCCCCCCACCTTTAGTCTTTGAGCCATGGAGATCTATGAAGGTACTAAGGATAAAACGGTTCTTCCACATGTTTTGTCCTATTTTCTGTGTTAAACTACAGTAGGACAAAGCAAATTGCATTTCTTTCAGTGTCACGGTTCGAGAAGTTCAGCTTCTTCAACTTGTGTGCGTTTCCTAGTTCTGCCACTTTGTTAAGCGCCTTTATGGACTCAAAAGAGAACCAGTGACTCGGAATGTAATTATTTGGAGGACTCAGTGCTCGTTTCTCACCCGCTGCACTGATTTATCAGACCCATTCTCAAGAGAGCACACACAGATTTGCCTTAAATGCTGAGAGCATCTCTACTCAAGAAGCCAAGCAGATGTTCCAATCAGCAGATGATCACCTCCATTATGGTACTACACTGAAAATAACCTCAACCTCAGGTATCATATAATCCTCCTCTTCAGTGTTTCATGACGTCTCAGTTCAGTCCACCTGTAGATAGCACTTTGCAACTGTGATTGGGATACCTGTGGTCTAGACGCTTGACCTCTAATCGGTTACAGTTCCTGCTTCTATCCCATTGTTTAGTTTGCTTCTAGAAGGAACTGTGGCTCCAGCGGGCCAAATGGCAGGCATATTTAACTTTTTATTCTAAGGCTTGAGGTGTAAAGCTAGTTTTACAGAGGTGAATGGAGAATAGTTCCATTCCACCTTAAACTTCTTCTATAGATAAGTAGGTACTTCGCTAGATCGATCAAGGTCTCATTACATTCAGTCAGCAATAGTTCTCTAGAAAAAAAAAGGAGCATAGAATCTAATATTTTAGTGGTATAGACTCATGTTGCTTTCAGTTATTATTGTACGATCCTTTGTGACTTCAGGAGTTCAGGGTCTATGTTATGTGAATCTTTGGATTAATCATGTATCTATCTCTTCAAGGCTATCTTTCTATTTCAATTTTGAATGGAGTGAATACAAAATAATTGGATGGTTAATTGCCTAAGTCATGTATGTGTATCGACTAGCTTGAACAAAAACACAGATACGGTTTCCAAATTACATTAAGAAAGGAAAACTCGATTGCATCCCTCGTACCTATGTAATTTAAGGAACTGTTTTCATTAATGTTCTAGAACAGAATGTTAATTTGTAAGATCTTAATTTCAGTTTAATCCTGATACATGTTCAAAACTGCTTTGTTTCAATACTTAACCCATGTATACTTTGTCATGCATCTTTTACATGTTTTGGGGTTTAAAATAAACGTTATTTTCTTCCTCAACTTCCAAGTTTAAAATACTGGAAGGTAGCTTTTTCCTGTCTTAAAGAGTTTGTTTATTGGCAAGCCGACCTCATCGATCAAATTTGCCTTGGCCACCAAGATGATTAAGACCTGCATCTCTGAAATTTCTGGCAAGCTAGGCGCACTGAGATGGTTAAAAAAAAATCAAGGTGGCAATAAAAGAATAAAAGTATAGTAGTGGCCCAAATTGTGAAAACCTTTTGGGAAAAGTATATTTTTGAGGTTTGATGGCTAATAACACCACTTTTTCTTTTGAGTAGTACCATAAAATTATATATATCAGTGGAAAGATAATTTAGTCAAGAATGTAATGCAACAAAGCTTGTTCAATTATCTTTATTCTATGAAAGGTTATAGCCAAATAACCAGAAAAAGGAAGCACAACTTGCTTAGGTTGTTGTCAGGTAGCTTTCCTTCATCTGATTGTAGCCAATGAGCTTGAGTTTTTAGAGAGCCAATCAGGTGTCATTTTTTTTTGGCAATGAACCAATCAGATCACAGTAAGATTCAGTTATTGATGTCATGTATTGAATCTGAGAGGAGGACATTTGTCAGTGTGTTATGTGATCGCTATCAAGTTGGTTGGGGTTTTTTGTGTTCTTTCATTTAGTGAGCTTGTAAAACGTAATAAAATTAAAGTAATGGTGCAAAGAGTTGACTGGTCGCCCAGAAAGCGATGTAAAATAGTATTATTAAGTGAACAAGGCTACAGTTATAAAGAAATTAGAAGAAAAATTGGTGGAAACTTAACCAAAGGTGGCACTTCTAAGTTTTTGAAGAGGTATAAGGAGACTCAATCACTCAAACAAAACCACACTGGTAAAGGCAGGAAAAGGGGCACAACAGTAAGTGATGACAGAAGAAATAAGAGACTGTGCTTATGTGATGGAAGAAAATCATCTGGGTGTATACAAGATGAAATGGCGCAATGCAGTGTGAAGTTGAGTGCAAGGACTGTTCAGCGCAGATTGCAGGAATTTGGCCTAAAATATAGAATTCCATGAAAAAAGCCACTTTTATCTCTCAAAGGTTGAAAAGCATTACATTCTTGATTAAATTATCTTTCCATTGATATATAATTTTATGGTACTGCTCCAAAAAAAGTGGTGTCATTAGCCATCAAACCTCAAAAATACACGCTTCCCAAAAGGTTTCCACTATTTTGGCCACTACTGTACCAAAGTTCTTTTATTGTAAGAATTTTACTTCCCTTCACTTACAACTCTCAAGAATCTTTGGAGTAATTTCAATTCTGACCGAAATCCATTATTGTACAAGGATAATGAATGTAAAAAGGAGGCATGGCAGAGACACAAGCTGCCATCTTGAAGTTTTTGAGCCCACCACACCCAATGTATGACCCTATCACATGCTATCGGGGTATGTCAACAAATGAAAACCTAACTCTCTTTTAAAAATGTTGATTGACAGAATGTGCGAGTGATTTTAATTTCCTATCTCCTGCTGTACTAGCCTAGGTTAAACTGGATGTAGTTTTGCACTGCATGAAGGGTAAAGCTATCCTAAGGAAGAAAAACAGCCATGATTTGCAGTCTGTAGTATATAGGCTTCTACATCGCCAATCCAAAATCATGCCTTAAAGGTAAAGGTTCCCCTCACACATATATGCTAGTCGTTTCCAACTCTAGGGGGCGGTGCTCATCTCCGTTTCAAAGCCGAAGAGCCAGCGCTGTCCGAAGACGTCTCTGTGGTCATGTGGCCGGCATGACTAAACGCCAAAGGCGCACAGAACTGTTACCTTCCCACCAAAGGTGGTCCCTATTTTTCTACTTGCATTTTATGTGTGCTTTCGAACTGCTAGGTTGGCAGAAGCTGGGACAAATAGCGGGAGCTCACCCCGTTACGTAGCACTAGGGATTTGAACCACTGAACTGCCAACCTTTCGATCAACAAACTCAGTGTCTTAGCTACTGAGCTACCGCGTCCCTTTAAAAGACGATTAAGCAATTCCAGCATTTCCCTGTCTACCCCTTCCATGAAGTCAGGCAATACAAGAAACAGTGTGGAAGAGAAATGCACGAGGAAACAAATTTCCAATAGACTGCGTATAAGAGCGGACTTTATTAAAACTGACAACCACAGCGGGCTTCTCCTGCACCTACTTAATACTGCTAAACAGGGTTACAGAAAGAACCCTAGAGACAGATATTGACACAAGACAGATTTATAATGGATAACAGATGAATTCACAGCGGTGGTGCCTATTGCAATGTGTGACCCTATGTGTGAAACTTTTTAAAAAAAGATGGGTTCTCCCATATTAGCTGGATATGGAGGCTAGATTAAGTTTGTCACGATACTTTCCGACAGGTTAAGATGCAGGAGCTACCTTTACAGACAAAGATGGGGGTGAGCACTTTAGGCCAGTGTGTTTGCAACTTGCTCTATAAAACTGGCCAAGTTGATGTCCCGTTCAGATAAACCAGCACACTCGTGTGTGCTTAAGGTTATGTGAACCTGAAAAAAACAACAACACAAAATGCCCAATTAATACAGCAGTTATGAGAAGGCATAGCAGCAAGTACTTGAAAGAGCTAAAAGATCATTTTTTAAAGTACGGAATGATAAATGTTTTTAGTATCGTCATTCACTGCTGGCCTCAGTGCTTAGCAATGAAATTTAAAACACTTTGTCCCATCAGGATTAGGGAAGCCGGTCACTTTGGTGTAGAAGAGGTTTTTTTTTGTTTTGTTTTTTTTAAAGTTACATTGCAATTGCTAGATTGAGCCACTACTATGAACTCCTTCCATATCAACTGGGAGCCAATCTATAATCTACACCCCTCTCCTCCTCTTGCTGCATTATAAGACTGGTAGTTGCTTAATCATATTTATCATTGTATCAGAATAAGCACTTCTGATGAGGCTTAAATACCCCGCCCCCCACACACTCCATACCACGTGTTTGCACAAATGTGATCTCTGCTATAGGTTTGGGCACCTAGAAAAGTGCAAAACACTATAGATTTAATGGGCTTGTGCTACAATTGTCTTATATAGTTAACATAACTTTATCTAAACTTGAACAGAGAGCCAGGCTGGGATTGTGATAAAACATCAGACTAGAAGTTGGGGAGACCAGAACCAGGTGAGTGACTTGGAGCTAGTCATTCTCTTTCAGACCTAGGAAGAAGGCAATGGAAAACTTCCAAACAATCATCATCATCATCATCTCCATTTAATGACCACATAATCCCTTGCGGGGTGGAATCTGGGCAACTGGATGGAGCAAGCAAGTGTTTTAGTGGCCGGATGCCCTTCCTGTTTCCAATGTGGAGTTTTGTTCAACGGATATATTCTCAGTGTGCCCAGAGAGAGAAATATCTGCCTCTACCTAGGATCAAACTCACAGCTTCCTGATTGGTGAGGCGAGAGCCTCACTTCTAGGCCACCGCACCACTACTTCCAAACAAAATTATCAAGAAAATTGCAAGAATCACTCAAAGCCACCCCTCCCACCCACCCAAAAGGGTCTGAACAACTCTTATCTCTTACTTTGTTGTAAACATTAAACCATTCAGGATGATGATCCAGTTTTTCTGCTTGTAGAGCTACTCTGGTCATAAATCCAAAGGCCTATTTAGAAGATGAAAGAGGATTTTAGAAAAAAAACAAGCAAAGAAGGGAAACTCCACACAGGCTCCACGAATAAGGCATATAAGCTACTTGTCAATATTGCCACAACTGAAAAGTACACTGCACAAATCACACAATTAAGGGTCTATCGATACATTTCAGTACTCTCCAAGGACAGCATTTAGTTTCTCACGTTTTATGCAAAAATGCAGAATGAGACAGGTTTAAGATTAAGTAACGCCCCCATCTTACATGGCCATTGATGTGGGCGGCTTGGAGCTGTAGCACCGTAACATCTGCAGTTCTGCAAGAGTGCTGCTTCTTAGGATCGCAGTTGGTATCGCCAAAGGAAAATTCATGCTATGCAATTATTACGTCCATGCTTGTCAAGCAACAGGCGGGTGAAATCCAGCAGGCTCTGACAGGTTCTGGAGAACCGGTAGCGGAAATTTTGAGTAGTTCGGAGAACTGGCAAATACCACTTCTGGCTGGCTCCAGAGTGGGGTGGAATGGGGATTTTGCAGTATCCTTCCCCTGGAGTGGGAATGGAGATTTTACAGTATCCTTCCCCCAGGAGTGGGATGGAAATGGAGATTTTGCAGTATCCTTCCCCTGCCACGCCCACCAAGCCACACCACGTCCACCAAGCCATGCCCACAGAACCGGTAGAAAAAAAATTGAATTCCACCACTGGAAAAAGGCCTCTAATGGGTGCAAACAAGTTAAGTGATGAGATTGCCAGACCACAAGCAGATGTTTTGAGTTGGTCCTTTCCTGGCAAGCATGGCAGAAAAAAAGGAAAATCCACGCACCTTTCTTGAATCTAAGCATTGGTATCCTCTCCAACCTTTTGGGGATGGAGTGGAAAAATAATTAGGGCTGAACCTGAGGCTATTTGCATTTGCATCCAAGGAACATTCAGACAGCAAATGCAGTTGGATTTCAGAGCCACTCTTTGCAGCTCCTGTCTCTACAAAGCTATTGTAGCGCCAACAGGCAGAGCTATGTTCCCTTTTGCTCTACCACATGAGGACTGAAACAATCTTGGTATCCCACATAAAGAATGTCTATGCAGATTCTCAAATCATCCAGGTCATAGTTCCAAAAGTGTTCTGAAAATGTTTCTTGGATGAGAAGCAAAATCTTTTCAAACCAAAAAACCAAGAAAGTCTAGTTGTCTTTTGAATAAAGCACTTTTGGGAGTACCGTATTTTTCGGAGTATAAGACGCTCTAGGGTATAAGACACACCTTAGTTTTTTGGGAAGAAAATAAGAAAAAAATATTCTACCTCTGCCTACCAGCATCTATCAGTATTCATCTGGCTAGCGTCCTGTCAGTGTGTGAGAGAGCTGAGGGCTGTTTGGAAACTGAAACAGTATTTGCTGTGTGAGCAACAAGGAAGGAGACAGCAAGG